ACAAGCTAGAAGGCGGTGAGGAGGGGCACAGGAGGCCCAGTGAGGCTCTAGTACTCCAGGACACAGCCTGCCCTCCCCCCCTGCTTCTAGAGCTCTGCACAGCTGAAGGGCCACTCACGCAGGGAAGGAGCAATAGCTTCCAGTGCACAGTCCCTTTGCCTCTCTGAGCCTCAGTTTTCTTGCCTGCAAAATAGGGATAATTCCACCTGTCTTGCTTCTCCATGAAGCTAACCAACAGGAAAGCATTTTAAAAACCAAACATGTCTACAGTATATTGAGGAATAAGTGCCTAACTTTCGGAACAAAGAGGGAAGAGAGGGATTTAGGCACTCAGGTAAGGCAGGGCGTGATGTTTCTCATCCAACTCTTACCCTATAAAGGTAAAGAGGATTCCTCACTGCTTTCCTTTCTGTGTTCCTCCCTTTCAGACTTTTTTCTTTTTGTTGTTACAATGCACCCTTGGCCATGTTCATCACTCTACTTTTTCCCCTCTGCCTTTCTTCCATTCCCACTTCTTCCTGCACCCCTCTCCCCACTGCAACTGCCAGAGGATCAGTTAAATACCATCCTCCTTCCAACAGCCCAGGTTAAGTGTGGCCTCGGGCGTGGTCCCCTTTGGGCCAAAATGATTGGGAGGAAGTGGCCCGCTGGTGGAGACTTGGGTAAGGAAATTCCATCCAGTTCGGTTCCAAAGAAAGTTGTTCCTCCCAGGACCTGCAGCCAACCTGCCAAAACCCAGAGCGGAGATAAGCTGGTGGGGAGAGGCCTGGCCAAGGGGAGGAGTGGAAGAAGGGAGACAGGAGGAAAAGAAAGGGATGTGAAAGGTGCTGAGGGACCAGAGAAGGCACGTGTCTCTGGAAGGGCCGAGGAGGCTGGTTGGGGCCAAGCCGAGGTGCCCACCTGGCCATCTGCCCTCTTCACTTCCTCCCTCAGGGTGAGAGAGTCCCAGTGAGGCTGAGGGTCTGTGGCGAGTAATGATTAACCCTCTTCTCAGCCAGGCCCTGAGCCCTGAGCCTGACCTGGCTGGTGAAGGGCGATTGTGCCGGCGGACCTCGGACGTCCCCAGCGACACCCTCCACTGCCACCGCCAAGAAGGGGGCTGCGGAGGAAGGGAACAGAAGGCAGCATGCGGAAGCCAAAAGGCAACGGAGTGCAGGCAGGGGGAATGCAACTTCAGATGCTGGGCAGACCAGGGCAGTGAAATAGCCCACCGCCAACGTACAAGGAAAGGAAGGGGCCAAATGCGGGCGAGGGCGCGCGGCTCCGAGGCGCTGAGGAATAGTTGAAGAGGGGCGGGTGAGTTTTCCCCGAGTTGCAGCAAGCACCAAATCTACTCTCTCGGATCCGTCCGCGGCGCGCCCGCCCTCCCTGCCTCCTCTTCCAGCAGCTGTGCGGACGTGAGGAGCAGGCGGAGAACGCGCCACAGCCGAGAGCGGGTAAGGAAGGCAGGGGGAGCCCCGCCAGCCAAACAGGGAAGCCAGGGGCAGGGCCGCCCAGGCAGGGGCCCGGCTGCTCGGCGCCGCTAAGTGGCCGGAGACAAAGGACTGGAGCGGAGGGGAGAGGGTACCACGGTGGGCCGAGAAGGGCTGATGAGACAGGGAGAGTACCAAGGAAAAGGGGTCTCTCTGGGGACTGGCCGAGGGTCGTCTGCCCCTGTCGCCTCTGCCGACCCCACCCTGGAGGTGGGACGTCCCGGGGGCTCACTATCGCTTGGGTTTCAAGGCGGAGGGCCTGTGGCCTGGAATCGGGCAGCGGGGTGTTACTGTGTCTGTGGGGTCGTGTGTTTGTGTGTGCGCGCGCGCGCGTGCACGCGCGCGACAAGGCTTAGGGAAGGGGGGAGGGGTGGAGAGGGGGAGGGCCTTTGCCTTTGGGTCAGACCCCCTACCCCTGGCTGCCACAAGCCTCCGCCCTCTATCCTGCGCGGTCCAGAGCGTTCCGTCCACCGAACTTGAAGCAAAAAGGCTCAACCGAATCCCTCTGGAGTCGGGGCACGGACTCTTCCTAGAGGAAGTACTTTGGTCTGAGACTTTAAGGGTTACCCGCCTCCAGGATTGTTTCTTAACTTTCTGCAACTGTTCCTGGGAGGAGGGGCGGCGGGGGGGGGGAGATGCAAATAAATCTCGGACAGAAAAAAAGCTCAGGTCCCAGTAGTTCACTCAGGCTATCTCTGAATAGGCTGGTCGGGAAGTCTAAGACCTGCGGATAAGGAAGATAGAGAAGAAACTGATGCAGGGAGGAAGCCCCTTTCAATTTCTAAATCTATGGAGAATTTCTGATGTGTCTCCTTGAGGGCTGAACGCCTCTTGGTGAAGGGATCCTGTGAGTGTGTGTTGTGAGGGTGTGAAAGATGTGTGAGGCGGGTGGAGTGAGCGTCTAGGCAAACAGCTGTGTCCCAGGCGGGGCTGAGATATGCACTCAGGACCCATACCCAGCACCTCCTCCTCCCCTCTCTGCCCTCAGCCGAGGCTGCACCGAGGCCAAGGCCTCCTCAGCCTCTTCCAGCGGGGCTGCCAATCAATCCTGCAGGTCAACACAGCAATTAATAACGGGGTGAGGAGGCCTGGCAAAAGAGGGCGGGAGGCGTCAGGCTGTGTCTCCCCCAGGCCCCGAGGGCCCGGCGGCGGGAGTAGGAGGGGTCTCGGAGGGCATAAAGACCCCTGAGAACTCAGCATGGGCCCAGAGCCGCAGGAGGGAGAGGCAGGGGACCAGCGACAGGGAGGCAGAGAACCTGCTGGGTCAGGCCAGTGGAGTAAAAGGAAGGTCATTAAATAAAGGACTTATTTTTATGGTTCTGAGAGTAGAGGCGTCGATGGCCAAAGACCACAATTGACCTGGTAGCCGATCCTTTCCAGTTACCCCTTCTCTCGCTTATTTTCTGGTGGTCTTCGCTGTTTCCGGACAGGCTCAGCGATAGTAAATAAAACCCGCATCCTTCGCAAACCCGTCTGCGGCGGTTGAGCCAGGGCGTCCGCCAGGCACGCTCGCTCCTGCGCGTCGTTTTGAACCAGCCGTATGGGTCTGAGAGGGGACCGGGGGCCCTCTAGGGCACGCAGAGTCCTGGTTTGTGCTGTGTCCCGGCCAGAAGTGTTCAAAAAAGAGGGGAGGGTGGAGGGACTGGAGGCGGGCAGTGAAAAAAGAGTGAAGGCGCCTTGGAAGGGAAACATTTCCTTGTTCAGACCCAGCCCTGCCTCCTGCCCTGCTCCGCAGCTCCTTCCTACCCTTCCCCGAGGCCCGGCTGGGCTGGCGGGAATGTGATCCCCGCGTCGGCCAAAGCGGGGAAAGGAGGAAAGGGAAAATTGGAGTGCTGTGAGCAGCTGGTCTTCCCCGGCCGCCGGGCCGACCGCGCCGGGAGAGCGGATCGTCGGGCAGATGCAGGTAGGCGCAGGCGGCCCTGGGTAAGCGCCCTCCCCTCTTGTGGAGTATCCCCAGCGCCAGGAAACTTGAGATGAGGACCCAGAGAGGTGCCCAAGGATATCCCCACCGCTCTGCCTTCTCCTTCCCGAGGCGCTGGGGAGTGGGTCGGGCTGTGTCTTCCGGAAGACTTGCAAGGACTGGGAGCCAGGTCCACACACCCCAGGCCTGCGAGGCAGTGAGAGCCGCCTTCCAAGAGGGAAAATGGCAAAGTGGGAGTGTCGTGAGCCTGAGTAGACAGGACCGGGAAGGAAGGAGGGGTGGGGGCAGGAGGCAGTAGGAGGCAAAATAAATAGATTCAGACAGAGGGAGAGAGAAGCTCTGTGCAGGAGGGGAAGAAAGGGGGAGAGAGGTTCCCAGGAAGGCCCAGCCATTAGGTCTGTCCTTGGGCTGCATATTTATACGGTCGAGGGGGTGCACAGATGGGCTCTCAATTGAATTCCATCTTCAACACCATCAGAGATTGATTTTGTACTCGCTTTTAATTTTGCCATAATTAATTAGATCATTACAACTGTTTGCTATTGATCTCCCTACTTAAACCTCTGGTGCGGAGGGGTGGCCCAGATCCTTAAAAGCCCAAGAAACCACAGTTGACACTTCTGGGGGCCCAGATTCCCCCCAGTGAGGACAAGGCCCCCAAGAGGGAATGGAGGTGGGCGAGGGACTAGGCCAAGAAGCTACAGGAAGGGCAGTGCTGAGGGTGGATAATCAATTGAAAGAACTAGAGCCTGAGCTGGTAGATGTGGGGAGGAGGGAGAGGAAGAAGGTGATTTGGAGGAGAGGAGTGAGGCAAAAAGGTCTGGAGTTAGTCCTTGACCTCTGTGATATTATTTGAAAAACTCTTGGAAATCTGATCCAACCCTCTCCCTCCCCGACAATCTAAAACTAAACTTGGGTCCCTGGCTTCCCACCCCTGTGCTACATCAGGACACCTAGTGGGCAGACAGAGCGGAGTTGGCCCACCTCGGGGAGGGAAAAGAGAGAGAGAGAACAGCCTTCCACTGCCTTAGCCCATTGGGTAAGCAGCTTCAGATTCTCTTCCCTACTCTTGTCCCCTGGGGCCTGCCATCCCTCTTCTTGTCCCAGGCCTCCCTGGAGTTTATTTTGGGAGCAACCTTCTCTCCATACACGTTATCTACACCAGTGCTTACACTCTGGTTCATATTCAAATACACAAGACCCTCACACATGTGCACACAGCCTGTCCCCACCACTAGCACACATGCACATGCACCCACACTCCATCCCCACTAGAAACTAAGGCCTTCCCAGTGCTCCCAACTCGGGGGAAGTTGGGTAAAATATTTCTACACCGAAGGAAAGCAAAGCGGAAAGACCAAGTCCTAAACGCACAGCAAGAGAGCAAAGGCCAGATTCTGCAAAGAGACCAAGAGAAGTTGTAAAACTCACGTTTTCCGGGTGGAAAGTTTTTCGTCGGTTTAGAGGACATTGGGACAGAAGGAGGGAGGCCTCAGCGGTGGGGAAGAGGCCCCGGGGCCCCCGTCCCCAGCCACGCCGCCCGGCAAGCGCCAGAGATAAAGAGAAGTGGAGTCCCTCAGTTGGCCACCCCCATGCGTTTCAGTCACCCCCTTGCCTGTGGCGCCCCAGGGTCCTCCTCGCTCTTACCTGCCCGGCCCGCGCGCTGTTCCATGCTCTGCTCCCCGCCGCAGCCGTCTGGGCCTGGGTCTCGCTTCTCGGCTTCTCTGCGGCCCGACAGCGCGTCTCGCCTTTGCCGCCGCCGCCTTGAGATCTGGGCGCAGTCACCCAAGACCGAGCGGCTCAGATAACCTGGGCTGCCCGCCGCCTCGGCTGTGCGTTCCGCTCGCGCCCACGCTCACCCAGCCGGCCGAGCCGAGGCACAGCCACGCGCCCAGGAGCCCCAGGCTCTCCGCCCCGCGCACACGCGCGCACACGCACCCCGGCCCCGAGCCCGCCGCAGGCAAGCCGCCGCCGCGCTGCCGCAGGCACCCAGAGACCGAATCCCCAGCCTAGACGCCGGCACACCCTCTCACCCCACCCCCCTCTTCTTCGCTGTCACTCGCTCCCGTCAGTCTCCAGCCTTACACGCAGGGGCGTCCTCACTCTCATGCGCTCCCCAACTTCGTGTGTTCCCCTTCTCCACGACGCTCAGCGCTCGCCCCCTGCCACTTTCTCCACCAGCACTTGCTCCGCCGCCTGCCACGCACGCCTTAGTCTCAGTACATGTTTCCAAGATTCCTACAGATGCACCCCAACTTTCTTGGGCGACATAATCACTCCCTGTCGCCAATACATTGTGGAACTGCTCGATAAATCCCTTACAAGCCTCTCCTGCTCCAAAATTTCTTTCCTTTAAAAAAAAAATCAGAATAAAAGGAAAAAGTTCTGGCTTCCATGCCTTCAGGAGATGAAGCACGAGAGGAAAGGGAGAAAGCCCGGAACCCTCCACGGCTCTGACTGTGCTCAGAGGCCCACCCGTCTGAACCACCCCCTTCAGCATTATTCTGGTCTTCTCACTCCAAGTTTCTTGGACCCTCAGATTCACACCTCTCCAAGCACACTCATGCTTTCCATCCCTGATCAAAGGTTCACTTGAGCTTTGTCTCCCCTCGGGCTCTCCCAACCTGGAATTTACACCTCTCACATCTTGGTCACAAGTTCTCCCTCAAACTTCTACACCACTTTGCCCACACACACCCTCTTATACTCCTGCTGCTTACACACTCACACACTTCTCAAGCACCACTACTCCCACTTCTACCCCCCAGGTTCCCTTTTCTCATCTGCCCCATTTCACACTCCCACTCACTTGCTCTGGGCCTCCCACTCTCATGCGGCCTTTGCTCACACAGGCTGAGTAACACTGAGAAGCAGGCAAGGTAAGTGCTGGGTGAGCCCCAGTGTGCAGGCAGAGGTCTGTAGCTGGTCCCATCTCCTGCACAAACACCTCCAGGCTCCAGGCAGAAGGCACCAAAGCAAGGACCAAGGCCCAGGTCCAAAAGGCCTACTGAGACCGCTTAGCAATGGATGCTCTTTAGCGAGAGTCCCAGATACTTCAGCTGAAGTTCCTTCAAAAAGATTGTGCAACTCAGGACTGAAGAGGCACAGGCACCCAAAGGCAAAACCCATATAATGGCTCCCCAACTTAATTTTTTTTTTTTTCCGGCCAGGCACAGGCTGTGGGATCTTAGTTCCCTGACCAGGGGTTGAACCAGGGACCTTGACAGTGAAAGCTTGGAGTCCTAACTACTGCACCACCAGGAAATTCCCCTCCCCAAATTAAATTTTAAAAAACCATTCTCCAGGACCATGTATCTCTACTCTTACAGGCAAATCATGGCCGAGGTACCATCTTACCACCAATATGTGATTTAAAACATCAGACTTTGCTGGGGTTTCTTTTCTTCTTAACTTCTTTTTTTTTTAATCAAACAATGATTTTCCAATATAAGCATATGGAAACTTAGAAGTGAAAAAAAAAGTTTTTGCTTTTTGTTATACACAGAACACTATTCCCAAGGACAAGGATGGGAGAGCAATGTGTATAAATGAAACCCTAGTGTCTCTCCCCCACCCCACACACAGTACATTCTCATGCTGTTATTCCATTACACACGTGAGATGTTCACACACATAGCCTCTCTGTCACCCACTCACATGGGCCATGACCTGCTGAGTCACACCTCTATTGCAAGGCTCTTTGTGCCTTTGTTACCACTTCTAAAATAGTGATTATAATCCTTGCCCTTCTCCCAGATTTCTCTTGAGAAACTTGGGTGAAAGTGATTGATAGAATGTGAAGTGTGACCACAGACATATTCATTGCTCTTATTCCTGTGTTTTCAGAAGCAGGAACTGAGACCCAGCATTACACACACACACACACACACACACACACACACACACACACGCAGGAGGGCACCCAATGGGGAATCAGGTGTTTTGAACTGGGGACACTCACACACACAGCTTAGTGTCCCTGCCTGCTCCTGAGCCAGCTTGTCACAGTTACCTGAACACAGGGCCCAGGGTTGGGGCAGTGCCAGGACTGGGGCGTAGGCCCAGGGGAAGGCAGCTGAAGCCATTGTGCTAAGCAGCCTGTCGCATACCGGGGGGACCAAGAGGAGGAAGGAGTTTTCTTAGCTCTTGGCTCTGATACTTTTGGAGCCTTGGGAACTCAGGAGACCTGCAAAGTGATGCCAGTCAAAGGGCAGGCCCTATACCTTAGCCTCCCTCCAGCTTTCTCTTTGTCTCCCAGGCCTCATCCCTGTCCCACACAGTCTCTCAGGGCCCTCCTGCTCATTGCCCGCCCCATTGATTGAAAGTCTCTCTCAGGTTCTCCAAGGAGTCCCAGGAAAAATGATCCACCAGCCTATTGATTCTTCATTAGAATTACATTTTCACGTGTGCTAAATTGGTTTTAAAAGCTCTTTCTGTTGTTATTGTCTTGTCAGACCCTGCGGTCCAGAGCAAACCAAGTTAAAACGTTGTGGCTTCTTAGAGAAAAAAAATCACCAGGGCCAGGTCTGTGATTACTTGCTTTCCTGCCTTATTGTTGTCATGATGACAATTGTGATTTGCTTTAAGTATCTTTAGGAAAAGAACCCTGCAGGAGGCCACTCTTATCAGACTAGGGCTGGCTGGGGGTGTGAGGGGGTGGATGTATGTGGAGAGGGCTCTGAAGCCCCTGGAGGAAGGACATAAGAGTAGTTTTTCTTTCTTTGAAAATTAAACTTAGCACTTGAACCTGTATTAACAGCTTCTGGGACAAGAGGAAATGTGAAAGTTTTAGAAATCACTTTTATTTTCTTTATCTCCTTCCAGATTGAATACAGGAGAAACAGAAAACACAACCTCACTTATTCTAGCTCCCTGCCCTTTCCCATAAATAACTGGAGAGGGGGTGTCAGTATTTCACAAAGTGCTGAGGGCGAGGTTGCAGACTTCTGTTTTGTCGTGGGGCAGAAGCCCAGTCACAAGGATGCTTTTAATCATTACACTTTGTGCTGGGGGAGGAGTGAATCCAAATGAGGGTAGAGAAGAGGGAAGAGAGAGGTAGGGACTCCCACAGAGAAGGGGGGTTGGGGGCCCAGATTATCTGAGAGAGACAGACAGACACACACAACCCAGAGTCAGTCTGATGGACTATTCTTTGCAGAGAAGCAGAGGATAAAGAAGAATGCAAGGGAGGAAGAAAGGAAGAAGAAAGAAGGGGAAAAAGAGGGACTGAGAAAAGGAAATGTATAGTGGAAGGGAAAGAAAGAGAAAGGTAGGCAGAGGAAACACCCTGGGGAGCTGGCAGCCCCTCCAGCCCCGCCTTCTTCCTGGCCTGGCAGCCAGAGGCTGTACTGGGGTGTGGGCACAGGGCGGCTGCGGAGCCCAGGCAGGAGAGCCGAATGTCTCCATGATGTGTTTATCCCCTAATCAGTTCATTAGTTATAAACAACATGACATTAGAAGTTAGGAGGCAGTTGATATTAATTTTTATTTAACTAGTTGATGTTTAATCCGTCACGCCAGGCTGGGTAGCAGCGAGAAAGATCTTCCTGACACAAAACCAGTTAGAACTTCATAAGGCGCAATCAGTGTCCGTGCGTTGAAACAAACAAGAGAGACAGAGACAGAGAGACAGGGAGAGACAGCGAGACAGGCAGCCTTGCCAGAAATGGAGGCTGGGCGGCGGGGGAGAGAGCTAACCCTCGGGGGAGGGCAGGAGAGAAGTAAGCTGGAAAGGCTGAGAGTACAGAGAGCTCGGCGGATGGCTGGCAGTCCAGAACTGAGCCCCCCGCCCAGCACGGCTGGAGGCAATAGTAAGGGTCTCAGCACCCCCCTGAATGTCCGGTCCCAGCAGCGGCGGGGCCATGAGCTAGGGGCCCTGCCAAGCCAGGCCGCGGCCACCAGCAGCCTTCAGCTGCTCAGTGCTTTGCGTGTCCGGTGGTCTGGCGGGTGGTCAGAGGATAACGTCCCAGCTAGGCGAGACCCAGACTTTCCCAAACTGTCCTCTCCAAAGCCCAGAACGCCCTCCTGTCCTCCTCCAGGAAGAGTGGGCCGGCAAGGAGTAAAGTAGGGAAAGGCGAGCAGCCTGTGCCCAGCGGCTCAAGTCTGACAAAGTTTGTCGCCATCGCAAGCCAGAGCAGGGTGTGTGTGCGTGTGTGTTGGGGTGCTCGGCAGTGGCAAAGGGGGAGGAAGCGTGCGACCATCTGGCGATTCTGCAGGCGGGGAAGGGTTTTCCTCCCAAGTTGGCCAACCCCTCCAAGAGCATCCCCGCGTGCTGGACTCCCAAGTAGAGACCAGCCACCCGCGGGCTCCTCGGGTGGCCTTGCCCAGTTAAGCTCCCTTCTCAACCCCGCCCCCAAGCACGAGCTGTTCGGCTTTTTCCACCTTCACCCCCGGCACCGGCCGGGCACTGGTTCGGTCACGGCTTGGTGACCCGGCACGGGCGGGGAAGGGGGGTGGCTCGGGCTGTAGTTTTCCGCCCTCGCGAGGGACAGTATTTGGAGGGGCCGAGGCATCCTCACCCGCGCGCAGACTCAAGCCGAGCATCTCACCATTTGCATGTTAATCTGCCTCCACCACGAAAAGGAAATCGCTGAAATTCCGAAGAAAATTGCCTCTCGACCGCGGTTAATAGTTAACTCTGACGGGAAAGTTCCCAGGGAAAGGCGAATGCTGGGGCGAGTGACGCAGGGGAGGCGGCCTGGGAGGGCTGCAGCCCGGATCCGGCCTCTCCCCTCGCCCGGCGCGCCCTCTCCCCTCGCCCGGCGCGCCCTCTCCCCTCGCCCGGCGCGCCTCCCCTCCTCGGGGTGGCGCGTCCCCCACCCCGTAATTAGCATCGTTTAGTTCACAAAACCCTTCCTGGGAGAAATCTGTTCCCTCGTTACGGGGCTCAGTTCAGCACCTGATTCCGCCGGGTGAGGCGAATAAATCACGCGGCGGCGGCGGCGGGAGAGCCCGACCCGAGCCCGCCAGACTGGGGCCTCCGGGAAAACGAAAAAAGTGAGAAAGAGGCGGCCAAGTCAGGGAAAACGATTTAGGGAGATGGTGCAGCCCTCGCGCGGGGACAGCGAAGGGCCCGGGAGGGGAGATCCAAAGAAAGACAGGGACTCAGAGGCAAAAGAGGGAGGTACAGAAAAGGACTGAGAAAAGAGAGGCAGAGACAGAGTGAGAAAGAAAAAGCGAACGAAAAGAAAGGGAAAGGGAGAGGTTAGGGAAGAGGGAAGAAGAGCGAGGAGGGAGACTAAGAAGGAGCAAACAAAGAATAAAGGAAATAAAAGAAATCCAAAAGATCAAATGCTTTTGTTGTTATATTAAAAAAAAAAAAGAAAAGAAAAAAAACCCCGCAAAACTCCCCTGCAAGGCTCAGCAGTGGAAGCGCGCCCCGCGGCGGCCAGCGCTCCCTGCCCAAGGGCCAAAGACCCGAGAGCGCAGTCTGCGCCTTCGGCGTTCTAGGCCGGGTCGGCGTAGAACCCGACTCCCGTTTGAAGTTCCAGGGCACGGGGCGCACAGGAGTATCTGCCCTTGGAAGCAATGAAGTTTGCGTGTGGGATGTCATCCTGGATAGATGACCGGGAGGGGATGAGTAAATAAAAGGCGCACGGCTCTTTCTTGGGCGCGCGCTGGGCACCAGAAACTTTCTGCCCCAGCGCGAAGGGAGGCAAGGACTGGGAGAGGAGAGGTTTCTGCTGCTTAGCTCAGAGCCCAGCTTTCCCGTAGCTAGAACCCCCCTCCCACTATCACACATACTCTTTAGCAGGGTCCACCTGCTCCACTATCCCTCCCACCCCCCTTACAGATTCCTAGCTCCCAGGCGGGCTCGCAGCGGCACAGCTACGAGAAAAAAGTAACGCATAGAGAACCGCGACCCGGCACCAGCGGAGGGCGCATTTCCTGATCCGCCTTCCCGCAGCGAGAGAGGCGCGGAGCAGGTTCAGCTGGCTCTAAGGGCCTGGCGTGGCATTGGGCTGCCCAGGCCAGAATTTGGGGAGGAGGAAAGGGAAGAAGAGAAAGAAGCGGGGGAGGGGGTAGGGAACGTGCAGAAGAGAAGCAGAGAGAAATGAAAAGTGGAAATGCGGGCTGGAAGGAAAGGCAGAGCAAGGGTATTAAGAAGCGTCTCCCCTTCGGTCTGACCCTCGTGGGAGTGCTCCCTCCCAGTTCTCAGTCATTTCAAGCCCCTGTCCTCTGGCCCTTCCTCAGGACGCCAGGCAAGAGACTGAGACCCGGAAAGGCCTCTGTGCGCGTGTGAACAGAGAGTGAGGAGAGAGCGGCTTCCCTGTCAGCCGGGCGGACCCTAGGATGACAATCATTACCAAAATTTCCAGCCTTTGGGACTTCCGGGTCAGCGTGGTCCAGCCTACTTCGCCCCTCCTCCGGGCTTCTACCCCTCCCTCCTGTCTTGTTCCTCTAGCCTGCTCAGCCACTGAGTCATGAGCTCAGCGCTCAGTCGCCATGGGGCTACTCTGTGATGGACACTGGGTTTATGGTACTGTACCCCAAGTTCGTATGCTTGAGGCACAGTGAGGCTGAACAACACCAAAACGTTGGGAGTTCAGAGCGGAAAAAGGTTTACTGCAGGGCCATGCAAGGAGAAAGGGTGTCTCATGCCCCCCGTCAACAACCCTGAACTCTGAAACGTTTCAGCAAAGCATTTTTAAAGGCAAGGTGAAGAAGGTGTGGTTCGTTGTTGCAAACTTCCTGGTGGTGGAATCCTTTGTACATGTAGGTCAGGTCCCTATAAATCTTCAACAAGGCAAACGCTATTCTTTGTTCTGCAACTTTGTATTTCTGTATGAATGATAAAGTGTTGTACCTTTAAAGACCAGAGCCTTGAGAATGGGCTATCCTGTATATTTCAGGCTACAGGCAACATTTTTAACTCAAAGCAAAAGCAATAGAATACAAAGATTGAAGTAAAAGAAACATCTAATGTGGAGTCAGATTTTTTCCTTCCCTATTATTCAGTTTAGTTCGGTCCCTCAGTTTGACTCTTTGCTACCCCATGGCCTGCAGCATGCCAGGCTTCCCTGTCCATCACCAACTTTGGGAACTTGCTCAAACTCATGTCCGTCAAGTTGGTGATGGCATCCAACCATCTCATCCTCTGTCGTCCCCTTCTCCTCCTGCCTTCAATCTTTCCCAGCATCAGGGTATTTTCCAATGAGTCAGTGTTTTGCGTCAGGTGGCCAAAGTATTGGAGCTACAGCTTCAGCATCAGTCCTTCCAATGAATATTCAGCACTGATTTCCTTTTGGATTGACTGGTTGGATCTCCTTGCTGTCCAAGGGACTCTCAAGAGTCTTCTCCAACACCACAGTTCAAAAGCATCAATTCTTCGGTGCTCAGCTTTCTTTATAGTTCAACTCTCACATCCATATATGACTATTATATTTAAGTAGATAAATCAGACACTGGCCCTGCTTTTAAGGAGGATATCACCTGGTGGCAAAAATAAAGTTTTGCCAAGAAACTCCAGAAAGTGTCACGATATGGACTGAAAGGGTGACTGAGACACAGGGGGTGTCAGAGAATGCTTTGTAAACAGATGAAGTCTTGCAAGATGATGAAATGTACACCAAAATGTGGGGGATACCTGGCTGAAATATTCCCAAGCAGAAGGAGATCAGGAGCAAAAGCATGGGGAAGAGGCAGCAACCCACCTAGCTGGGAAACTGCAAAGGATTCTGTGAGGCCAATATGGATATGAGAGTTGAGTCAAGGGGAACAAGGTTGGGAGGTAGGCAGGGCCTAGATCAAGGACCACTTTTGCAAAGGAGTTTTGATTTCTCCTTTAGGCCATGGAGTGTGATTGGAGGATTTTATACAGGGAAGAGAAAAGATCTAATTTGGAGAGGAAAGACACTGCAAATGTAGAATGTGGGCTGGAGGTAGGGAGAACAGCAGAGACTGGGGAAACAGTTTCAGCAAGAGAAGATAAGAGGTCTTGGAACAAAAACGTCTGAGGGCGATAAAGAAGAGAGGGTAGATGTGAGAGATGAAGGCAGGATGGTCAGGACTCAGGCACAGATTGGATGTGTGTGTATATTGTGGGGTGAGGTGATAAATTAAGGTCTGTCTGGGTCTCTGGGTAACAAGTCTCAACTCTGATCCCTCCCCTCCTCCTCCCCTCTCATCCCTTCCCCCTCCACCCATCCCCTTGCAAATCTTTCCCTTTCAGTGGCTATATAAGTGGAAACCCCATGTGTCATATCTGGAGGCAAGTCTTTTCTCCTCTTTTTCATGCACCCTTACCAGGCAGTCTCATGTGCACCACAGAAGAGGAAATTCTCATTAACTCTAAGACAGAGAAAGCAGCACCTAAGAGTGAAAGATGGAACCAGGGTAGACCCCTCCCCTCTTTTAGTTCCAAAGCATACCAGTTTTCTGGTCTTGGGTACATCCCTTGAACTCCTTGTGCCTAAGTGTTCACATCTATAAAGTGAGGACAAGGATATTTGCCTTGGGGAATTATTGGGTGGTATTAAATAAGGGGTATAGTAACCACTGACATATAGAAGCCCACCCCAGGCCCAGACCTCTTGGCAAACACTGATTGAGCATTGTCTCCTGCACAGGGTGTCAGGGGGTATAAAAAGCAGTAATATAAAGATATTCAGGGAAGTTGTTGATCCAGAGGGAAGACCAGCTGCCCCATTGGAGCAAAGTTAATAATAAAAACAACTAACATGTCTGAGAGCTTACTGCATGTCAGACATGCTTTGCATACATTAATTCCATTTGTTCTGCCTACTATTTATGCCTATTTTTAAGATGAAGAAACTGAGGCACAGAGAGTTTCAGTAACTTGTCCACAATCACACAGCAAATTGGTGGCAAAGGTAGGATCTGTACCCAGATACTGCCTCCGTAACCTATGCTCCTAAGCACATGCTATGCTAAATATTCCTAGGGCCCACTGAAGAGTCAGAGAGAAAAGAGACACAGGCTGTGATTCAGAGGTTGGGTGGGTCTGAGAGGATTCCTTCAGGACATCCAGTTAGTGAAACCCAGGAACCCTTCTCCCCTCTTCTTCCAAATCCTCATGCCTTTCACCATCTCTATGCTCTTCTCTCTCCTCTTTTCTCTGTCTCTCCTCAGAGCCTTTGAATCTGGAAACCCAGAGTTAGCTTCTGTGACCTGGCCAGCCAATTCTGTGAGGCTGCAGGGCCAGCAGCCCTCACCAGCCTTGCAGGAACCTGGGAGCCCCACACTAAGGGTTTTCCAGCCAGGCCTTGTCCCTTCCCATGAGACCTCAAGCTTTTCCAGCTCCCAGGCTTGAGGCCCCAATATGGGGTAGGGGGCTCCCTGACATGCCTCCCTCCAGCTGGGGTCAGCCTCTGATCAGGCCTCTGGATCCTGATCCTGAACACCAGCCATGGCAAGAATTCCCTGGATTGAACCTGATGCCCTCCCCCTATCAGCCTGACCTGGGTTGTCCCATTTGAATCCCCATGAGCTGGGCCAAGGTGCCCTGGGAACTGCAGAGGAGCATGGAGGACCCTACTCATGAGCCCATCTTCATCACTGGCTCTTCTGGGTCCACAGAACAGGCACTGTGACAGGTACCTTTCCCCTATATGCTAGAATCATCCCCATAGTCGCTCTTTTCCCTGAGCCAGCAGAAGTCTATTTTTTTCCTCTTAGAGCAGGAGTTATCTTTGCCAAAGACAGAAATTGAAGAAGTTCTGGAATAATCCAGGACTGTGGAAACTATCTTTAATCCTTCCAGTAAGAGTGAGGCAGAAATGAATGTGTGTGGAAGGAGGAGGGGTTTGGGCCTTTGGGTTTGGAGGGGTCTCATTTTTTTACTGGAATTTAACCAATTCCCCACCTATTACACCGAATGGCCTTTTCTCAATGATCTGTGAGTTCTTTAAAATACTGTGGCCAGGTAGATATTATACCCAAAGGGTCAGTGCTGTGGAGCAAAGCTGTTTATGAACTTTTGGGTGTCTGCCTTCCCAGTTTGCAGCCCAGTCTTTTGAAAATCTTCCTCCAAGATGGACAATGTGTTAGGCAATACGCTGGGTCACCCAGAACAGACACTAGGAATGAAGGTGATTGCATGGATGTGAATTAGAGGAGTTTTCTCTGTTGTTCCCTCCTCCGCACCCCACCCCACCCCACCCCTCCCCCTCCAGCACTTGGTTAAGGGAAGCTGTCTGGGGGCGGGGTTGGGGGTGGGGGGAGAAGGGCTGCCTGCAGCATCCTTAAAGTAAATATATCCATTCCCAAGAACAAATTATTCTCTTAGTTTCCTCCTCTGAGGAGTGGGGAGGCTCATCCATTCTGCCCGGAGAAGTTAGAGAATTAAAGCCCCTAGCACAGCTCCTGGCACACGTAGGGGCTCGCATAAATGCTATTGTTCTTTTCGTATGTCTCTAAAGGAGCCCCGCACTGCACCAGTCACAGGCTTGGGGTTCACGGGTGGGAGCTGGGAGCCCTGAGGGTGCGCTTCCTGCCGCAAAACCGCACCTCCTGGACCGGGGCTGCGGACCGGACTCGTTCCCCTGGCGCAAAACTGGACGTTTGGCTGCGCAGGCGCGCGAACCAGGGCTAGAGGTTGAACCACAGGTCGGATGCGGGATGGAGATGAGGGATGCGGACTGCGCGCGGAAGCCTCTGCATCCTCAGCCAGTCTGCAAAACGGTACTTGCGGCCGCCGCCACGGAGCCCTCCAGGGTTGGAGCTGCCCGGAGCCCAGCGCATCTTCCGCGCTCCGAGCGCGCTCGCCCGCGGCCGGCTCCGCCCCGCCCGCCGAGAGCCCGCACTCGATTAATAATCATAAACCCCCCGCTCACCCTCCTCTTAAAATTAATAACTCTGTAATTAGAGTCATTTCAGAAGCCTCCTGAGCCGCCGAGGCCTGCCCGGCCGCTGGCCGACCCGCGCTTGGCCGAGAGGGAGGACGAGGCCCGGCGCGGCGGCCGCGGCATCTGCAGGTAGAGAATGAGAATTAAAATCGCTCTCAACAATCCAATACACTTTTTATCAGCCATCTATCTGAGAGCCGGGCCCATTCATCATCCGAGGCATTCTCCCTGAAAACAAGACCCATTCAGATTTTATACAAATTATCATATTTATCATCGTCTCCAACTCCGGAGTAACATCTCCGCAAAGTGTCTGCCGTCTCCCCGGGGAGCCGCGCGGCTCGGAGCGCCCGAGCGCCAGCCCGGCAATTCCCCCGCCGAGCCCCCTCCCTTCGCCCCTTCTTCCCCCTCCCCGTTCTCGGGTCTTGTCTCTGGCCTTTGATCCACTGTCTCTGCTTTCCCCACCGCTCTTTTCTCCCCACTTCCCATCAATCTCTCTTTCTCTCATCCCTCTCTCGCTCTCTTCTCCCTCTCATCTCGCCCTCTGGCCTTCGATCCGATCCATTGTCTCTCTGCTTCCCCTCCCTTCCTAGAACACTTACTTACACTCTCTTCCTTGCACCGCCCCCCCCCCACCCCCCAGTCCACCCCGTGTCTCCCACCTGGTCTCAAGGACCTGTTCAGGTCTTTCTTCTCTTCCTATCTCTCTCTCTGCCTCCATTTCGGTCTCTCTCTCTCTCTGGGTCTTTGCTTTCACTCCACCCAGCATCCCCATTGCCCTGTGAGAACCAAGCAGCAGGAAGGGCCGTTTGTGACCACAGCTCATGCCTCCCCTCGTGGATGGAGGAGGTGTTCCACAGTGCGACCCCCCAGGTTGATTCCAGGGGTCAACTCTGGCCCACATCAGGGAGCATGAGCAAGTGAAGCAAGGCCACAGGAAAGACACTCCCATCACACACTACAAACACACACACACAACCCACCACACATACACACACTACATGCATGCACGCACATAGCCCCCATTACACTCATCCCCTCACCACAGACCCACCACACATATACACCCTCATACACACACAACCCCTGTCACCCAATACACACAGCCTCCAACCCACAGCTGTCAATACACACTCCACACACACCTCCTAACTGTAATCATGTAACTGATCTCACTACACATAAAGCCCCTCTCATACCACACACAGCCCCCAATACATACATAGCTCCCTACCACACACCTGGCCCCCAATATGTACAAACATAAGGGCAGAAAGTCACACCTTCTAAAAATGTAAGTGTGCTCACTATACGCTCTTGTCCTCTTGCCCAGATTCTCAGGCCCTGTCCTCTACCTTCTGTCTCTTAGCACATCATACACCTGTGGTTTAGGCAGGAACAGATCAGCCACTATAGCCTCTGGAAACACCTTCTGGCTTGGGTGGGGAAGTAACCAGCAAGAACTTAGCTCCCTCAACCAGTTACTGACTCCCAGGGATTAATGAGGCCTCCCCAGTTCAGACCCACAGACACTGGGGGCATTTCAGAAGGGGCTTTTATTCAGATTCTATGGAGGGAGACCTCACAAAAAGTAACAGCAGGAATGTTGAGAACACAGGTTTCTGACTCAAAAAACCATCTGTGGGTGATTACTTCCTTTCTAGGCCTCAGTCCTGAGGGGTAACCCTGTGGGCCTCTATGGGGACATTGAGGCTCCAGTATTATATTGAGGTCCTCCATGACCCAGCCCATCCTATTTTCCCTCAAAAACCTGCCTCAGTGGGGTGCTGTGTAGGAACCTCTGGCTGTATATCCTGTGGGTCCTTGGTTGATTGATTTATTCGTTCCTCAGCCATTAGTTCAACGACCGTTACAGAGTGCCCTCTCTGTGTCAGCTCTGTGCTTGGCATGGGGTCATGGTGATACAAGAGATACACAGCCCCTGCCTCCATGGAGCTTACAGTCTAGAACAATGCTGTCCAATGGAACTTTCTGTGATACTGCAAATATTCTATATCTGCACTTCAAGATGGTGGCCACTAATCATATGTGGCAGTTGAACACTTGAAGTGTGACTGAGGAACAGATTTTAAATTCTATTTATTTATTTAAATTAACTTTCATTGAATTTATTTATTTAATTTAAATGTGGAAAATGGCTACTATATTTGCCAGCATAAGTCTCACAGGCAGGTTAGTCTTAAATTTCTTTCAATGGAGCAGTGTATATATGAAGGAATTTCATTCCTCTTCCAGAGCTGTGGAAGGTTTGTGAGCAAGGGGCCTCTGAGCATGACTCCTCTTCCTGTTTGGACCACCAGTTTCCCACATGCAACAAGAAGGCACCCCAGCCCCACATGTGTGAACAGAAGAACCTGTGCCCCTAAGACAGGCCCATTTGAAAAACTGTAGATGAGTAATTCCACATGAGAGAGTAAATAGCATTTTTTCACTACCAGCCACTATTTGCACATGCAATTTCATAAGTCTTATGAACCTACTGGGGGTTCATAAACACAGATGCCTGTGGGGGCAGAAACGGCTGGGAAGACAGACAACAGGGAGGGGGGCAAAATTCTCTCTAAAGGATGGGATTGTCATGCTGAAGTGGGGGCCAATGATGGCTAGTTATCTAATTTTTCAAGAGTAATAAGGAATCTTAGTTTTTCTTTGAAATTCATTTAGAAACTATTTAAATTTTTAAAAAATGTGACAAGGCAGATGACCAAATGATGGATGTGTAAGGATAGTCACTGTAGCTTTGCTTGAAGATTAGAAGTAATCTTAATGTCCACTACTAGGAGTCTGCTTGAATGACATGAAATATTTATTCAATGGAATACTAGGCAGCCATAACCAAGAATCAAGTGAATCTTTGTACATAGGTGAGGAAAGATCTCCAAGGTGAACTAAGTGAAAAGAGTAAGGCATAGAACAATGTGTAAGGGACCATTTATTTATTTTTTATGTTGTTAGGTACCATTTATTGATTTTTTTTTTTTTTGCCACACAGCATGTGGGATCTTAATTCCTCAACCAGGGATCAAACCTTGCCCCCTGCATTGGAATCATGGAGTCTTAACCACTGGACCACCAGGGAAGGGCTGCGACCATTTATTGAAAGAAGAAGAGGCATATATATATATATGAAAGTGTTAGTTGATCAGTCATGTCCAACTCTTTTCGATCCCATGGACTATAGCCTGCCAGGCTCCTTTGTCCATGGAATTCTCCAGGCAAGAATACTGGAGTGAGTAGCCATTCCCTTCTCCAGGGGATCTTCTCAAATCAGGGATCGAACCTGGGTCTTCTGCACTGCAGGCAGATTCTTTACCATCAGAGCCACCAGGGAAGCCACATACACATATACACACACATTTGTACCTGCACAGATTAGCTCTGGAAAGATATACAAGAAACTGGAAATAGCGGTTGCCTCAAGGAAGAAGGCAAGGGTGGAAGGAAGACTTATTTTCCTCTATATACCCTTTGGCACTAACTGCATGATTATGTATTTACAGTATAGGCTGAGAAAACCTAGCTAAAGGTCAGCTGTGGCTTTGGGGTCACTTTGTTAAAGTCTATTAAATCTGTTAAAATCTTGCTTCTGTTTTTTGTTTTGGCTGTGAGGCATGTGCGATCCTAGCTCCCTGCTCAGGGATCGAACCCACATCCCCTGCATTGGAAGGCAAAGTCTTAACCACTCATGGGGTGTCTGTTTGAAGTAGATATTACTGACCCTATTATATAGATGAGGAAGCTGAGGCTCATTTAGATTAAAGTTGGTCAAGTATATGTAACTAGTTAGTGGTGGAACTTCAATTCTAACCAGGTCCCTCTGGCTCACTAGCACCACATGGCCTCCTCCCAGAAGTGGGGAGGAATGATGATGTCAATAACATCATCACTGTCAACAATAGTGTTTATTGGAAACATGTTATATGCCAGGTGCTGTGATAAATATTTCATGTCTCATTTAATTCTTGCAACAACCTTATGAATTAGACATCATTATCATTCCATTTTATAGACAGGGAAGCTGAGACCGAGAGGTTAACTTTGCTCCCAGAGTTACACTGGCCAGAAGTGGTGGAGCTGAGTTCTCTGCCTGGGTAGTCGAACTCCAGAATTTGGTGCTTAAATCATCTCAATGCAGAAAGTTTTGTATCCTGGCAGGCGCTCATCCCCTAAATATTCCATGACACCTCCCTGGGGCCTTCCATGAGTGTACACTGTCTCCTATAGTGTGGACCTGTGTACACATTTGCTCAAACACATCTGTCCTGAAGCAGATGTTCTTAGGGGACAGACTTCTAGAGTTATCTTTCATAGTGAGAAGAAATGGATATCTGTTAGCAATGGTTCTTCGGATTCCTGGCGACTTGCCTTTCCTACCTATACCTTTGCACTGCCCTTACCCCAGAGTGGCCGGAGTTGCCTCTTTTCTCCAAGTAAATGTGTGTCTGGCTCCAGGGCCCAGGCACTGACAATACTAAGTGATTGTAGAGCAGGTTTTCTTTCGAGTCTCTTGACATCCAGTGAGGAAGGCAGGAAAGGAGTATTTATTTCCGTTGTGTGGATGAGGAAACTGAGGCTCACACATCACACATACACACATACCTGCACATACTGGTAAGAATGAAAACTATATTGTGGTGCAAATTAACCCACTTACTCCATTATCTCATGGCAAAGTCTCTAAAGTCCCTGACCCCATCTGGGAAACATGCGAGGAGCACTCTCCAGGCAGGCCCAAGCTGGAGATGAAAGAAGACAGAAAAAGAAGAAAAGAGCTAAGGAAACAGCCATGGCCTTTGAGCAAGAAATTCCCCCATTGGTGGCTTGAGTTCTATGGTTAAAATTGTGACCAAGTGCGACTGACAATCTGGTGTAGCTCTCTGTCCACAAGGATGTGTGTATACTCACTCCACTGGCTCTTAAGGCACTTGCTTCCCACACTGTTTCCCTTCCCCCATGACAACCCTGTCCTACCTAGTCTGGTCCACAGAGCAAGTAAATGGGAAGATCTGAAGATTCTCAACCTGCCCCCTGAACCCCCTCAGCCACAGACTTAAATGCATGTGCTAGCCCCAAGCCCAGTGCATGATTCAGGAAGAAGAAGCAGGCAGACATTGAAGGAGCATCCCCTCCACCCTCCGAGCTGTGTCCATGTCTATGATGGCAAAACACAGGCTCTGGCAGGATCCAGAATCTTGGAGGGTCCAGGGTAGCCAGAGGCAGGCTTACATGTAGATGGAAAATCTAGCAACTGATAAACTAGGCCTTTCCTAGGGCCTAAATAATCTCCTCTGAGGGATTCTTTTTAATGTTTATTTATTTGGCTGTGCCAGGTCTTAGTTGTGCCACACCAGAATGTAACTCTTGGTTGCAGCATGTAGAATCTAGTTCCCTGACCAGGGATTCAAGCCTGGCCCCCTGCATTGGCAGCTCTGACTCTTAGCTATTGGACCACCAGGGAAGTTCTGCCTCCTCAGAATTTATTTAACAAATACTTATAAGGAATTCCCTGGTGGTCCAGGGTTAGGACTTGGAGCTTTCATTGCCGGCTGGGGTTCAATCCCTAGCCAAGGAACTAAGATCCCATAGGTGTGTGGTACAGCCAAAACAAAAACAAAAAGCAAATACTTACAAGGTATATGCTGTGTACTTGGTTGGCACTCTTGTACATACTTTTACAAGGATGTTAGTTTCCTCTGGCTGCTGTAATAAATTACCACAAATTTATTGGCTTAAAATAACACATTTATTAGCTTACCTTTCTTGAGTTCAAAGTCTAAAACAGGTCAGCAGGCTATGTTTCTTCTGGAAACTCCAGGGGAGAATTCGTTTCCTTACCTTTTCCAGTTTCTAGAAGTCATCCACATTCTTTGGCTCATGGCCACCTCACTCTGATCTTGCCTTCTGTCCTCACACTTTCTTTGACTGCTATTCTTGCTTCCCTCTTATAAAAACCCTTGTGATGACATTGGGCACGCTCCAAAAATCCAGGGTGATCTTCTCATGCTAAAATCCTTAACATGATCCTACCTTCTAAATCTCTTTTGCCATATGAGGTAAGATAATCATGGATTTGGAGGATTAAGATTTCCGAGGCAACCATTATTCTGCCTACTATAGCAAGTATTCATTCATTTAATCCCAATGACAACTCTGAAGTAGATGATATTACTATTACCATTTTGTAGATGGGGAAGCTAAGGCAACCAGAGGTTAGATTTGCCCAGCGTCATACACTTAGTACATGACAAAGCCATAATTCAGTCCCAAGCAGCTTGTCTGTAAAGCCTGTGCTCTTAGCCACGATATTACAAGTATTTGGGGGCTTGATAAAAGCATATGCTCTGTGACATCCACAGACACTTCATACACTCAGACATCTCACATAATGTCTATGCATTTTTCACAAACATATAACATACACTTGCATATGCCCTTCACATATATGCACTCTGCTAACATACATACACTCCATAGATACTTGAATATACACAAAAGACCTGGACACATGCATTCAAAAACATCCCCTCTGCTCACGTGTACTCATACTGCATGCATATACACATGCCCTAAACACATACATACACATTTATGCACACTATCCCATACAGAGACTATTCATAAATACATATTCTGCATATAGAGCAAATGTATTATACTTTCTATGCTATGTGCATACACAAACATCCTTTCACAACCACATAATGCCCTATGATACATACATCTTGCACATGCATGCAAACTGAACCAGGCAAACATAAATTCTCTTTAAAACATATCTTTCAAAAAGACACATAATGTGCCTGTGATAGCATACATACCCCATACATGAATACACCATGCACATGCAATATACTCAGCAAATACCTTCCTGTCTAAACACATATGTAACCTACACATAGACTCTATGCATTTATACCTTATTAGAGTCTCATCTGACATATATACATATTTGAACATACACACCCTGAACCCCAGAGTTCTGTACTCTGCATACCCTACCTACATATCTATTTACATACCATACATATATTATCAAGAACCACCATGCATACAGATACAGTGGACCTGGAGACAGACATCCTGCACACGCACACACAGCCCACCTAGAATGCATATATTCATGCACACATACAATTCCTTTCTTAATATACTTTATATGCACATCTTGCAGTTACAGAAATGCACATCCTATCCATCAGGACTAAATCCACAGTGAATTGTCTGCTTTAAGTAGCACTTCACACACACAAAAATAACCTCACAAGTGTACAGGCAGATCAGAGAGCTTCCTTAGGCATTCCCCAACACTTGAGGGGGACCGTTATCCCCATTTTCCTGGAGAGGAGGCTGAGGCTAGGAAAGGGCGGGGCTAGCCCAAGGGCGGCCCCGCCCCTCCCACCGTCGCCGCTGTGTGATCAGCCCCCGGCTCGTATCCCTCAGCTTCAACAGAAAAGTAGTTCCAATACCATGTTTGTTAACTAGGTTATCTAGGCTGTGGAAGATTTTAATGTTGAATTTTATAGCTTTACCACGCTCTGCCGTCCTTGTGAATATTGTAATATTGCATTTTTTACAAGTTACTCTTCTGTTAATGTTCCAGCTAGTAACTTTTATAATCCTCCTCAATGAAATTTTTTTGTATTCTTCCGCACCGTTAACCCCAATGGCGGCGCCTCGGCCCCTGGCAGGAGGCAGATACGAGATGAATTCCTCTTTAATCAGAAATAATAATAATAAAAACACACACGCGGCTCTACTGCCTCTCACTCTGGCTTCCCTCGCCGCCAAGGCCGCCTCTCCAGGCCGCCTGTGGGCCCTGCGGCCTAGGCATGGGGCGGCTCCGAGAGAGAGCCGACAGCCGGCGCCGGGCTAGGGCAGGACCAGGCTACCGGGCGCTTCCCGCATTTCCAGACCCTCGCCCCTTGGCGTCTCCCTTCCCAACGCTGCTGCTCCCGCTCTCCCGGAATCCGAGGCTCCACTCTTCAGGATCCGGGGCACACTCCGTTTTCCATCCCTCTGTCTGTGTCTGTCCGTCTGGGCCTCTGGCTGGCTGTCTCTGCCAGGCACTGTTTCTGCCTCTTCTGTCTTTCTGCCTCTGTCCTCTAAAGCGCTCTTCTTTGTGTATTCTTCTCTTCCCCTCTTCTTCCAATCATTTCGGCTTTCTTTCAGGTTTTTATTTTTTCCACCTCTTTTCCCTCTACATTTCCAGTCTCCACTTTTGCTTTTTTCTTTTCAGACCAGAAGCCATTTGGGATGGAGTGGGGAGTTTTGGCAATGGGATAGACCGTGCTTAGTGAAATGGGGTTTTGAACTAGGTTGGAGCTGGGTTAGGATTAGGGATGCCTTTGGACACGACTGAGCGACTAAGCACACAGCACATTGGAAATACCAGGGAACAGGAGTATCAGAGAGGGTTATGGTGTTTGTGGCCATGCAGGCGGTTGGGGACAGTTGGGGGGCAGGGAGAGGATGTCCAAGAGTCAGGGGAAGGCTCAGAGGGTTCTAGCTGCTGGGGCCTGGGGAGAGAAGGCAGCTGGCCAAAGAAGCCCTGGCTGAGTGTCAGACATACTCTTGCCCTCAGGTTCTCTTCTATCTAATGGGAGAGACCCACCATGGAGGTAGGAGGAAAATGGGCTGTTTCCTAGGAAGACAAGGCTTGCAGTTTGGGAATAGTCTCCATGGAGGGGGATTGTGTGTGCAAGTTTAGGTGCATGGAGTGAAGGGCCTGTCTTTAATGATAATGGTAGAAGAAAATATGATCTAAGACTATAGCATAGAGATAGTTGGATAGCATCACTGACTCAATGGACATGGATTTGAGCAAACTCCAGGAAATAATGAAGGACAGGGAAGCCTCGTGTGCTGTAGTCCATGAAGTTGCAGAGTTGGACATGACTTAGCAGCTGAACGACAAGATTGTAGAAGACCACACAGCTTCCTTCATTCAGTCAATAAATATTTATCAAGCATCTGCTTTGCGCACCTACTGAGGCCCAGTGCTGGACCCAGAGAACACAAAGGTGAATAAAAACACAGTCCTTGGCCTCTTGGAACTTATGGGTTAATGGAAGTGACAGATATTTAAATAATCACACAACTTGCAAACTGGAATCATTGTGCTAAGAATTTCTGAGCTGGAGGCAAAGTATAACCCTGTGGCTTTCAGAGATCCTTCAGAGGCTGGGGGGAGCAAATTGACCACAGGGCTTGATAAGAGCTCCAGAAGCTCTCATCTTCCTCCTCCCAGGCCTGCTCCTACTTTACAGAGGGCAGTACTCTCCCAATTCATGTGAGTTTTATCAACTGGTCTTCAAGAAGTCACCCCATCAGATTTCCCTAGGGACTCCCAAATCTGACCACTAAGGTACTCTCCTTCCTCATAATGCAGAGGGGAGGACTGCCCCACACATGAGAACAGAGATGCCCAACATCTGGAAATCTCAGCCCCAGCAACCGCCGAACATCTGGAGCGCTAATCACAGGAGTCGCGATCGGCCCGGAGGTGGGGTTGGAGAATGGGACGGGAGGTGGGATAGCTCAGCAAGCGGGGAACTCGAAGCCCAGCTCCTCGCCTACTCCAATTTGTACCTGGCCGGGAATGCACCACAACGCAATGCTGAGGACCTCCCCCTCCCCGCCAGTGTCCCCGCGTGTACCGTCACCGGCTGAACCCCAGGTCCGCTAGCAAGGGTTAACGGCCCGACGCCCCACTCCCAGCTTCACGTCGGACCAGGAGCATGCAGGTGAGGGAATATCTTTAAACAACGACCGGGGGTTGCGGGGAGAAGAAGAGGGACCCGAAGGGGAGGGGTGGGGCGGGCGTGGTGAAGCGGGGTGGGGGCGCCCCGCGCGCCTGTGCCGAGCGTGGAAGCTGCGAGCGCCCGCGACAGTAAAACATCTGTAATGTGCCATTCGCCGCTGCTCGCTGATTGCTCATGGATTAAAGATTAAAATCTCGGCTTTGGCAGATGGGGAGAGAGAGGAAACTCTTACGAGCACGTTTTGCATCTGCATTTCATTCTGCTCGGTTCCCTGCGCCACGCCTGGTGGCGCCCGCCCCACCCCGCCCACTCCGCTCCCGGTTCCCCCTGCGCCGCCCGCCTGGCCCGGACCTCTCAGACCATTGGTCCTCTTCCCACCGTCCCTGTCGCTCCGAACCCTAGGCGCCTGCCCGCCTCGTCTCATTCTCATTTGGAGTTCTCTTCTCTGATCCAGTGTTGGTTTCCCGGCTTCCACCGGAGACTCCAGACTGGGCAGAATGAACTTTCCCCAGAAAAGGGGTACCCTCTCTTCCACATGGGGGCACCGCCCACACGCCCACCGTACCTGGCTGCCTACCCCTGGGAGAGGTACACAGGCCGAGGATGGCCGGCGTGCGGAAGGTGGATTCAATGGTGGTACTCCTGGCCCTTGGAAATGGTGAAACTTCATTGCGACATGGCCAGGTGGGCTCACCAGGGAGGATGTGTCCCCTCTGTTTTTCACAGTGAGCTGCTGTGGAGGCTGGGAGATAGAATAGACAGGGACAGGACGACTCTTAGGAGCTCTTAGGGTAGGGAGGGCTGCTCCTGGAATGGGGTCTGTTTTGGTTTTAGGATAATCCCTGTAAATCAGCCTGGTTCTGGACCACAGAGGAGTTGAAACGTGTGCCGGTGCTCTCCACACCCGGAGCAGATCCACTGGCTTCCTCATTTCCCTCTCTCTCCCAGAACGTGTCCCTGGATTAAACTTTGTCTTGGTGGGAAATCCAGGCAGAGAGAACTAGAGACAAAGGGCTGTTAAAAAGACAGACAGGTGTTAAAGAAACAGAAAAAGGAACAAAAAGCTGCAGAGTAGGATGGCAGATATAAGCAGGTGCATCTGGTGGTGGGGGGAGAAGGCTGGGGAGATGGTGGGAGGGAGCCTTGCCTAGGTTCTCAGGACTCGACTGGGAGGAGGAGTTTGGTTCAGAGTGAACAGAAGAGACACTGAAGAAGGATGAACGAGAGGAGGGTCGGTGTGGCAGATGTAATTAATTACTGCATATTAAAATGTTTGTTTACAGAGATGAACAGTGGCCAGAGGTCTGATGGTAATTAATTCACAGCATTTCCCAGCCCTCTTTGAGCCCAGACCCCTCTTAGGGTCTGGGAGTGGACTGGGGTGGATGAGATACTGGCTTGTTCCTGTCCTCCTCTCACCAGGGATTGGAGCCCTGATTGCTGACACTGGAGGGAATCTGAGACAGCATCTCGGCCAGTCTACACACTCAGGAAAACACAGGCCAGAGTGAATTTGTGACTAGTGATTTGCTCAAGGCCACCAGCTAGTTAGTGATGGAGCTAAGGCTGTAGTCCTTGTTTTCTTGCTCTTAGAAATATGTCCAAGGAACACTGAGGAGATGGTGATCTTGGGTAGAGATGATAGAACAGAGGGCAGAATGGGGGATTACGACTGAAGAAAGGACTTGGGAAGAAAGAGACAGACTTAAGACCATGGTGGAGAGGGGACCATAGCCCCTCACTCTGGATAGGTTGGGCCAGACAGCCTGGTTATCAAAAATCAGCTCTATCCCCTCACCCCTGCCACTGCACTATCTTGGGCTGTGAAGAAGGAGGCAGGTGCAGCTAGCATCCTGGTCTTAGAGTCTGCCACTCCCAGCCTTGTGACCTTTTGGAAATAATGTAATGTCCCCAAGCCTCTGATTCTTATAAAATGGACACCTCCCAGGTTGGGTAGTTGGGAGGAGTACACTGGTTGTTGGTAGAGAGGGATTGGGAAGTGGTGCTTACTCCATGTAGCTGCCTCTGCGCCCACTTCCTCTTCATTCACATATGATCACACTCTCAACACATGTTCACCCACACCCTTTAACTCATCTATTTGTTCATTAAGATATTGGCTGAGGGACTGCTAGGCAGGTATATGGGGTGAAGGGATGCAAGATGAAGCCAGGATTTGCCCCTGTTTTGTAGGAGCTCATAAGATTCACAACCATGAAGAGAGAATCAAAAGTGAAGGCACAAAAGGAATGTCACCAGAGTGAGGGATAAGGTCAGCAGATAGGAGTCCCGGGGGGGCAGTCAGGCTGCAGGAGGTAAGGCTTCTGGAGAATCTGGGCCCCAGGATAGCCACAAAGGATAGGTAGGAAGGAGGTGGGAGGAGTAGGAGTGGAGGAGGAGAAGGCTCTGTAGTGGGACTGGGCAGGTCATCAGTTCACAGGAAGAAGGCAGGAGCCACTGCCCACACCCCACACACACCCCAGCCCAGAACCCACAGGAATTCCACATAGGCCTCTTATTTGGGGAAGCACAGTAGGGGGATCACTCATTTCCTGCCTCAGACCCTGCTCCTTCTGTACCAAATAAAGGGCTGAGGTCAGGTTGTAAAGTGAGCAAAATTTCTGTTGTATCTCAGAACCATGAAATGACAAGAGTTTAAGGGAGAGGGAAAGGAGACGCCAATGGTGGGAAGAGAGAGGGGTTGAGGTAAGTCGTTAAAGAACTGGAGAAGGATGAATGAGGGTGTTTGAGGAGAATGAGGCCTTTGCTCCCTTCTGAAGGGCCAGGGCTGGAGGAAGGATGCGAGCAGGAGGCCATGACTGGTGGTGTGTGATGGGGGCTGTGAGGGCAGGCTGTGTGTGAGTGCTCCTGTGAGCGCATACCTGTGCATGAGTGCATTCTTGGGTGTGTGGCTGTGGCTGCAAGGATATGTTTATAGGTGTGTGAATGTGTGTGTGAGTGAGTGTGGACGTGTGCCAGCATGTCAGCATGCCCCTGACTGTTCATGTGTGAGGAGATGTGAGGCTCCTTTTGTACATCTGGGCCTTTCTCCTATAGCCACCGCCCATCCCCACGCACCCTCAGCCTCTGCAGGTAAAGTGGGAGGAGGGTAGGGTTCCCCAGGGAGGGGTCGCTCACCCAGGGCCCTTCCAGAGTGCACTGGCCTCCCTCCCTGAGGCTGAATCAGTGTCAGAGCCTGGGGTCTGGGCCAGAGCATCCCTCCAACAGCCCCTCTGTCCTTGTGTGGCTTTTATATCTCTGGGGAGGGGGGCGGTCACACATGATATGTTTATTGCAAACACACAAAGACAAAAGAAACTCAGGAGATACAGATAAACAAAAAGAAGGAAAAACCCACCTGTCAACTTACACCCAGGGAAACCCACTCTACAAGTTGGTATATTTCTTTCCGATCTTTTTTCTATGTGAACAGGGTGAAAGGAGAAACAGGGTCGTGCAACGCAAACTGTTCAGTTGGCTGCTTGCCCCCTGCCATCGTGGCTGCCCCGTGCCTCTCTGGGGCCCCTCTCGCCCCCATTCCCCTCATCCCGGCTGAGGTTGCAGCGAGGGAGATGCTTCTCCCGCCTGCCTCCCCAAACCCCAGAACGCACGGGAGGGCTGGGTGACGACTTGTCCTTGTCGGGCGGGGGTGAGGGGGCCGGGGGCACCTGCTGGGCGCCCGGCAGGGGAGTCTTGGGCCTGCAGCTGGCGGTTGAGCGAGGCGCGGGGGAGGAGCCGACGGAGGGTAGGGAGCGGAGGGAGGCGGAGCGGGGCTGTCGCTTCCCATCAGGCGGAGGATTGTTCCCGACACGCGCAGGCCCCGCGGCGTTTCTGTGTCAGGGAGTTTTGCCGGCGCCGTGACCCATGCGAGGGGGGTCGGGCTGCGCGCGGGGAGCGGCCAAGAGTGACCAGCGCGGCCGGCCGCATCATCACCACCTGGCCGGGTCACTGCTTCCCTCTCCAGCCCGGAGCGCTGCCGAGTGGGGGCGGGGCTGAAGGATGGGAGGGGGCGGGTTTCTCCCAGTGTCCCTGCCCCCCCCTCCCTTGGGGAAGGTCGAGTGGCAGAAGCATTTCCCACGTGGAGAGAGCATCGGGAGAAGTCACCACGCAGGGTCTCCGTGTCTTCCTTTCGGAATGGAGGGGAGGTCTCTCCTAGTCTTGAATTAAGGATATCCTGTTCTCTGAGAAGTGGATGAGGCCACTGGCTAGAGAATGGAGTGCCTGAGGGTGAGAAGGCCCTCCGACAGGAGGGGGGAAGCCCAGTCAATCCCAGGTTGGCCCCAGAGCCAGAGCTGTTCAAATAGAACTGGAACCTGGACTCTCAGTGGAGTGAGATCAGGGACCAGGAAGGCTGGGGTGGGGCATCAATGCAAATAAGATGATAATGGGGGTGTGGGTGGCCGAGTTTCCCAAGCGGGGGTGGCGGGTGGAGGGATGGAGGGGGGCTGCAGGGAGAGCGGGGCAGGCTCCTGACCTCTTCCCCCCACCCACGGGTCCCATCTGAAGTCTGCGGCTCCCATCTTCGGCACTTAATGATTTTGACGGGCCCCACCCGCGTACCATCCGGGCCTTTGTGTCTGCCAGACCAATGGCCCCTCTCCCGGGCCCACCCATCAGTCACCCGGAGCTCCAGCTGTTCCCAGCCTTTGGAGCAACCTCGGCAGTCACCACTACAAATTGGCTCTCAACAGCCGCTCAGAGACCCCTTCTCTGCCATTGTCTCGGGACAAATGGCCCTTCCCCTGCACACCGCCCCTCAGGCCCAGCCCAGGCTGCCTGCTGCTCCTGGGAAGGGGAGGGAATGCCCACAGAGCTCTTCTGGGAAGCCTTCCTCCTTCTCTAACCCCACCGTTCTAACCTGGCTGGGCTGGTAGTTGGGTCCCCACCACCCAGTTCTGGCCTAGACACCCTGTGGCCTTTCCCCAGACAGATATGGGCTCCATGCTGTTAAAGACTGAAACTCCTCCTTCTGTTTCTGTACGGCCCCCAGAGCTGAAGAAGTCTCAGTAGGGACTTGTTGACTGAGGCTGAAGAGAGGTGTAAAAGGGAAGGGAGGGAAGGACTGATGGAGGAAGGCATGGAAACTGGAAGCCAGGGTTCCCAGGAGCCATCACAGCCAAGCACATAGCCAAGACAATTACATGCCTAGTGTTGCTGATTGCATTAAAATCATTAGAATGAGGGATCTGAAAATCGTACATTAAGGGGTAGAATTAGAAAGGGCTTTAGAGACTGGCACAGGCATCCCCAAAGTGAATCTGGTACAATTAGCTCAAATAGTGTTACACAGATACTTCCGCGTACTACCTCAATGACCTTCTCAGGACACCATCCCAAACTCCCTTCCCCTCTTTCTTTCTGTTCCACCTGCAGGATCTCAAACTCTCTCCTCACTCCTCCTCCTCTTTGGCTTTCCTCTCTCACATGCCACGTTGCTTCTTCAGCTGCCTACTTTGTATGCATTGCAGTGAGTTAGATGAGAGGATACAGTGGGTGGGGTGTTTGGCTTTGAGGGTGGGAGACAGACAGACCAAGACATTCCCTGTGGAGCTCGCCCTTAGTCAAATGCCCCTCCTAGCATCTGTGCCAGCATCGGTGCCAGGGTGGCAGGAGAGTTAAAATGCCCTGGTTTGGGGCAGGGAAGGGGTGGGCCTGTCTGCTAGTGTCTGTGTGAGAGGTGGCCTGAATATCAGAGTCTGGATGGAATTGAGTCATGGCTGCCTTTGTGAGGGTATCTGTATGTGTGTGTCTGTGTGTGTGTGTGTCCTGGCTATGCCTTAATCCTGTGGGTAGCCAGTCTTCCTCCAATGGGCATCTGTCAGAGTTCTGGGGAAGGGAGCCAGAGTGCCTCTCTTGTGATCTCATGGAGCAGCGGGCTGGGGGCTGGGCTGCCACCGGCCAGGCTCAGGCCTGGCCAGACCAGGCTGCCGTGTGGAGAGTCTGATGAAGTACTGGTGAATGGGCCTCTCTGGCTAGGGGAAGGGTGGAGAAAGGATGGGGCGTGAGTGGGGGTGGAAAATGGAATTGCCAGCCTGGAATGAATGGATGGTGGAGTTTCTCTTTTGTAACCAGGAATAATTAAGATAGATGTGCGGATGGATTAGCTGTCCTGCAAGGTCAGGAGCGCATTGCCGGATCACTCTATTATTTCGCTGCGCCACGGCTACCCAGCTAACGCCTTTTTCATGATATTTTGAACATCCGCACAGAAAAAAACCAAGTGAGTGCACGAGAGATACAAATGGATCGTTTGGTGGAGAAATCCGTCTTCGTCACTGCCGCCAGGCTGGGATTAATGCGATTGAAGGCTCCTCCAGGCTCCGCCAGGGAGCCGGGCTCTGGAAAGCAAGAGAAATTGGTTTGTACCCCTGGGAGCACGATTGATGGGCTGGGCCGCCAGGCCGGGCCGGGCCACCGAGTTCTCTGACTGGTCTGGGGGCAGGGAATGGGTCTGGGCCCTGGCCTTGGCTCGGGTGGGGCCCTGTCCTGGAGGAGAGGCCTAAATAGGATGGAACCTACAGGAGCTTGGAACCTAAAGGAGAGACTTTAGGTTTAGGGAAAGAATAAGAAGGTGGTGGTGGGGGGCGCTAATCCCCAGTGACATCCCTCTTCCTAGAATGGCCAACAAGGCTGCTAAAGTCTTAACAGGACATAGGATTGGCAGGGTGGGGGTGGTGGGGGGGTGGGGAGGGGTGAGGAGTGGGTTTTCTGGAAGAGGGCATGTCCTTTTACTCTAGGGAGAGTGTTTACTGAGCTTGAACCATGTGGCAAGCACTGTGCTAGGTGTGAAAAGCCCTGTAGGGTTCCTGTCCTCAGGGAGCTTGTAGTCTAACTGGGAAGGGAAACACTGAACAAATCATGCCAAAGTGTGATGGGGCTTGTGACAACATTTAATCTCCTTGACGAAGAGATCAGGGAGGTTTTCCTCCAAGGGTGACATGAAAACTGAGTCTTGAAGAATGGCTGGGAATTAACAAGTCAGGGGAGGGAACAGTATTTTATAGGCAGAAGGGTCAGACTGTTTGAAGATCTGGAAGTTAGGAGACTGATGGAGAACTCTTCACCTACCTGATAGAGGAGACAAAACTTACCTGCAGAGAGGTCCAGTGACTTGTCCAGGGTTATAAAGCTAGCAGCGAATGGCAGAGCCAGGGCTGGAACGAAAGTCCTTGGCCTTCAAGTGACTACAGAATCTGCTATTCTGGTGGAAGAGACCAGGTCTTCTGTGTTTGAAAATGGTCCATGGGTTAGGCTTATTTGAGAGGTCCCTATCAGAAGAGGGGAACCGGGCACATACCTCTGTACCACTAGGTACACACACACTTTCACATAATAGAATGAAGATGGGCTCAGGGAGATGATCAGACAAAGTCCAGAAGATTTTGTTTTTATCTTTGTTTTTACTTGTTAAGGGTGTGGGTATGGTAAAAATTTAAATATTATACATGGAAATACAGTGAAAATTACATCTCTTTTTACCCTTCACTTTCCATTCCTATATTCTCCTTTCTAGAAGAGGCTACTGGTATTATTTTGTGTGCAAAAATATTGTACACATGTATTGTAGAAATATTATCTACTTTCACAAATGATGGCAAACTATACACATTGTTCTACATATTAGTTTTTTTAACACATTATTTTAGAGGTTATTCCAGAACAATACACGAAGATTTCCCTTATTTAGAAAAGCCGTATAGAATCCCATTGTAAAGATGTACTGTCACATTTTTTATTTTTAAAATGAAAAAATTATTTTTTTCTATTCTTTTTCAGATTCTTTTCTCATTTACATTTTTTCAGAATACTGAGCAGTGTTCCTTGTGCTAAACAGTTGGTCCTTGTTGGTTATCTGTTTTAAATATAGCAGTGTGTCCATGTCAGTCCCAACGAGTGTGAAGGGAGAAAGCTCTGATATAAGAGGAATGGGAGGAAAGGGAGAGGGAAAAGGGCCAGGATGGATGGTAAGAGTGAGGGGCTCTGAGCTGGGGAGGCTGGAGGCTTGTATCTCCATCTTAGTCTGTTTTTTTTTTTTTTTTCTTTACTGATTCTGTGTGATCTTGAGCAAGCTGTTGAACTTATCTGAACTCTTTTTTAAAAATAGGATTTTGTGTGATGTTTAAATATCTTCCATGATTATGTATGAGAAGAAGAGTGGATATACTCTACAATAAAATTAGCAACTACTGCTGGGGAGTAGTATTTGAAATGTTTTTATTTTTTCTTTTATATTTTCTGCATTATCTATGTTATCTAAAATGTCTACAATGTGCACACATTATTTTCACAATCAGAAAGGAGTCATACAAACTTAGATGCTTATGATGGAGAAGGGGGAGGAATGGAGGTGGAAGCCTCTGCAGGCTTATGTATTGGGCAAGATTACTTGGCAGAACTTGCCAGGAGTGGGTTGGATTCGCAGGAAGCAGAGTTGGCAAGAAAGTATATCAAATGGAGGGACATAAGTGAGTAAAGGTGTGGACGAGAAAGCATCTGTGGGAAAATCAATCCATTTGGGCAGATTATACTTGTTTCTTTCATTTACTCATTTAACATGCATTTATTGAGGTCAGATTCTGGGCCAGACACGGCTCTGCCCTTTGGACATGATGGTGATCAGAAACAGAAATAATCCCACATTTTGTGGTGTGGGAATAAGTACAATGATGAGGTATGAGTTACCTTTTTATTATTATTATTTTTGGTTGCGCTGAGTCTTCGTTGCTGTGCATGGGCTTTTGCTAGTTGCAGAGAGCAGGGGTTACTGTTTGTTTCAGCGTGCCAGGTTCTCATTGCGGTGGCTTCTCTTGGGTTTGTAGGCACATGGGCTTCAGTAGTTGCAGCACACAGGCTCAGTATTG